CATAAACTTGCAAGATTGAGAAAGATCAAAGTTCTGTGGTAATGAATAAGTTCTATCTCTGTACCAGTAACTTACAGCCACATGGTCTGAAAACAAAACCTTGTCTATATTAAAGGTATGCTTTCATTAACAAAGCCAATCTTCCTGACAGCAAATCTCTGCTCTCTCCCTACTCAGACTGAAATGTGTTACCACGTTATCTAGTAAGAAATGATGCCCAGATTCCTGGAGACTTTCTGTGAGCATATAGTGCATCTTGCAGGGGCGCCATTCTTCCTCTGCCCTTGGAACCCATCCCAGGGCACCACAGCGAGCATTGCCCACGCCAGCACTTGTAAGACTGGACCTGACCCTGGGTTCTTGTCCCCTGGCTTCATGAGCATCCCCTCCCCTTCTTCCTGTGGAGTCTGGATCTGAAGAACAAAGCTGACCCACCAAATGAAATGCCACCTGCAGGAATGTCCACAGAGTAGGTCACAGATAATTTAGGAACCACATTCTTGAATGATGGCTTTTTAAGAAATCAAGAGGCTTTTCCAGATAAGAGATAAAGTCAGGAGATACAAGAAGGAAATAGGAACCAAAAAAAGGCAAAACCTATAAAGATCTAGACCCAAAATTACTGTATTTAATCTTGATGAAATTGTCTAACTGCTCCATCCTCCCATTTTGTCTCTGGCTGATTTTTTTTATCTCATGTTTCTCCCTTTTCTGTCCTTTTCTTCCTGAAAATGTTCTCGTCCTCCTCCTTCTCCCCCATGACTAGAATCTGCAGTTCTGTCCCAAAATGCCCATTACTTCTTCAGGGCCTGGTAAGAAATCAAGTACAGACGATACACAAAAGCGCAAGACAGTTTCTGCCTCCACGAAGGTCCCAATGGCAGTAATGCCCTGATTGGTAAATGATGCCGACAACAAGTTGAAATAGTATGTGAAAAGTGACCAGGAAAGGCGATAAAGAGTATAAAATTTCAGTGGAGATGTTTCATGGCAAAAGTGATGAAAGAGAATTTTCGAGGGGAAATAGGATTTGCACAGAGCCTCAGAAGTCTTGAGGAAGTGCTGAGAAGCAGCCAGGGGTTGAAACTACCTCCTACTTGTTCTATTTTGGTCAATCATTAAAAAAAAAAAAAAGAAGAAGAAGAAAAGAAAAGAAAAAAGAAAAAAAAAAAAAGAAAGAAAATTAAAAAAAAAAGATCACGCCCAGCTCCTGGCCCTGCGCATTGCCGGACTCAGTGGCAATGAGTTTAGCGCATACACCAGAAAATAAGAAGATATTAGAGGGGCCTTTTCCTCTTTTACTTAAGTTTAAAGCTGTGGGTGTGAAAAGAAATACATGTGACTTTGGACAGATTAGGAAACTATTACAATTCTGCCAGTGAAAAGTGATGAAGGCATGAATTAAAGCAACAGCAGTGGGGATGAAAAAGGGAGAAAGATTTTAGAGGTTATTAAAAAATAAAGTGATAGTCCTCAGGGAACATTTAAATATATATCTCAGATTCTCTCTCTCTCTTTTTGCAAAAACACAACACAACAAAACAAGATTCAGTTTAGGAAAGAGGGTAGGCTCCACCCCCTGAGGGGTGACACTCTGGAGACAGAGGACCAGGACCATTAATATGCACTAGGTGATGATAAGGAACTCTGAATGCAAGAAACAGGCTAAAACTGGCCAAAGACTGACGCCCACAGAATCCCAATATTTAAAAGTAGACAGTATGGGGTGGGAAGGGATAAGTTTGGGAGTTTGAGATCTGCAAATGTTAGCCACTATACATATAAAAACAGATAAAAGACAAATTTCTTCTGTATAGCACAGGGAAATCTATTCAATATCTTGCAACAACCTTTAATAAAAAAGTATGAAAATGAATATGTATATGTACATGCATGACTGGGACACTGTGCTGCACATCAGAAACTGACACATTGTAACTGACTGTGCTCCAGTTAAAAAAAAGTAGATAATATGGAGAACCAGCAGATCGAGGACAGACAGACCAATACATACACATATATGTACCTGTGTGTGTGTGATGTAACACACATGTAGTATGCAGGATCTGTAACTCACACAAATGTAACTAGTATGTCTATACATGTGTGTGTGTGTGTGTGTGTGTGTGTGTGTGTGTGTACGAACAGGGTGGAAACATCTACATTGTCACACTAGTTAGCTGTCCCGGGTGAAAGGACACCAAGCGGCCGAGCGCAGAGGGAAGATGCGGCTCCAGCCGAGTGCTCTGACCCTGGGCTCAGTCACAGGAGCGCAGAGGGAAGATGCGGCTCCAGCCGAGTGCTCTGACCCCGGGCTCAGTCACAGGGAACCAGGGAGGAAAGGACGGCAGACCCCTGGGCTCCCCTTATCCTTCCTGTAACAAAGCGCACTTGAAACTCTAGCGACGATGAGGATCCCAGGCAGGTTTGTATCAGGAATACACTTTTTAAAACATCAGTAAGTAACCATATTCACACCCCCAAGTCTCTACATTGTAGAGAATCCAGAACTTTAACAGCATTGCTCACCAAATTCAATTCACAGTTAGAACTGGATGCCTGTGGTATGCAAGGCAAGGTGCATGTTTGTAACATGAGCTATTTCTTTTCTGTGTAGATGAAAAAATGCAAACCCAGGTCCAGGAAACGGCTCTTAACCGTTATGACTCATAATTCACAGCACTCGTGTACTCATGGCTGTCATGTTATGAAGTGGCAGATTTGCCTGGCCTGGCACCTTTACTGGAGGCAGAGATCACTCGTCCCTGCCTGCACTCTCAAAACCATCACTGTCCCCTAGAATTATTGGGAAACATTAAACAAAGTGTTGGTTTCCAGTTATCACCGCAAAGAAGCACAAAGCAAAGAGACGACCAACTTTTATGTAAAAATCAACCCACCATTGTTCCTGCCCTGGCAAAGCTGAACTTGGGTCTTGACCGGATTTGTATTTTAGAGATTAAATAACACATCTGAGTCGCGCATCAATTTATCCCTTGATGTCTCTCTACATTTGCCCCTATTTCTTTATGCCTTTAGAACATACAATATAAATTTGATGTCCAGGATTTCCTATACACACTGAACTCAATTTCGACACATTAGAGTAAACATATTCCAACTCATACACTGCTAATAAAAATATATAATTTAAAGAATTAATAACTTTCAAAATTACATATTGAATCACAAAATAGCTCTCAGAACTTAAAAGTATGATAAACAAGATTTGCACACTCAGATAATTATGCGTATATATATTTTTTCAAAAATAAGTGTATATCAGGAAGACTATTGATGCCTTTTAGAAAAATGTTTGCTGTCAATATTTATATGAGCAACTGAAGTTAAACTCTGTCTTTCAAAATGAATCTATGTATATCTACCCATTTATTTATAGTATAAATTATTCAGCAAAATTGGTTTAATGGCTTCTAGGACATTTTACTCTCTTATTTTCATTATAAATTCAAAGATATTTCTTATGGTAAACATTCTTGGTAGACTGAGTTGAAATTTCTATGATGGTTTGCTCTGTGGCCAACAAAATATTTTAGTTTTTCTTTATGTTCATTTAGAAATGTTTTACAACAGTTACCGAGTGGGAATTTTTAGTGGAAATTTATTCTGATCTGTGATAATACACAGATTATCACCCTATTAAAATGATTACTCTTTATCATTTTTTGTTATGATAACCAACTTTATCAGAATGACAACTTGATAAACATTTTCTGTCCTGAGACAAAATGCTGTACCTATGTAAAAATTTTTAATCTGTCTTCTTCAGTTACAGAAAAGGAAAAAACAAACAACAACAACAACAAAAATAAACAAAAAAACACGATCCACAATGCTTTCTACTGTCCTTGGTTACATAAAATATAAATCAACAATGTAGCACGCTCAGAAGACAGCTACTGTCCTGGACCTTTGAGTGGACAGGGAGCGATGGAAAGTCAAAAAGAGATTTCAAAGTGAATTACAAGAAGCAAGATATTTTTTAAAATAATTTTTCCTGTTTTTTAAACTTACTTAGAAATCTACAAAACTACCATTTTAAATATCCTTTCAATAATAAAAAATAACTTTTAGATACTACACCATAAGGAATAATAATAAATATCAACCAAAATACACTCATCGACCCAAACTGAAACCATTCAAGAAATGTCCATTAAATAGACCATAACTGTATAAAGATCTCAAATTTAACAGGTAGCAGAACATCTGCTTAGTACATTTTCCTATAGAATACAGCATTTGCATGATTCTTAAGAGTTTAAGTATTTTTATCTCGTTAAGGCTGTAATATTTACCCATCACCCAGGAAGGGCGGTGGCCCCATAAGAATTTTCAAAGCAAATAATCATTGCAACAACCGTAAGGAACCAAAAACCTTGATTTCAGATACATTCAGTCATAAGAATTCACAAAAAGTGAATATTTAATTAAAATACCTAAGTGTATTATTTTAAATTACCATATAGTGAAGTCCTCAATAAAGGTTTTCAGTCACAATCAAAATTTGAGGAAGCAAACTGCTGGTCAGAAAGGAGGAGGGCTTATGTGCAAGCAAAGCCGTATTATGGCTTTTTTGAAAATGCATTGTTTGTTAAGAAAGAAAAAAAACAAAAATACACTTTTTTTGTCATTAGAATCTACCTCTTGCTCAAACACATTTGTGTCATTTCAGGATAAGGTAACAGTGTTGCTTTGGGGCTATCCTTGAAGAGTTTGTAAACCAAGATACAGAGAAACAATGTTTGCCTTTTAAATTGTGAGTTCTCGGCCTTTTTAAACAGAAACAATGTGTTCTTCTCATAACAAGCCATGCCTCTCTGAGCTCAAATAACCTTGACCCTTATCCAGCGGCTCTGTCACCTCCAGTCACCAACACGCAACTGATTTTTCTATTTCAAACCAATGTCCTTCCGCCAAAAAAAAAAAAATGATAATAATGTTAATCAGTAAGCAAGCGTGAGCTGCCTCGTACTCACCTGTAACCAGCACTGCGGAGTCCAGCGAGGCAACGCCGAGGGCCAGGAGTTGAAGCCACAAATACATGGTCATATCTGGAGATCAGCCGTGTTCCCGGGAACCAGCATGCGTCCGTCTGAAAGGCAAAATAATGGTTATCTCCGTAAAAGGTCTTCTCTGTGGAACCGAATCAAACAGTAAAAGAAAGAAACGCGTACGCTGCTCTGGTGTCTTATCAGACGGGAGCGATTCCGCCCGCTGTCGCCCTCAGAGCTCAGCGCCCGCCAGCGGCATGGGCTGCGAGGCACTGCGTCAGATTCGGTTTCACCAAGTTCTCCAAAAGCGCTGCAACGGGGCCTCTTGGCAGGAAGTGGAGAAGGTTGTTCAAAGTCACTGCAAAGGCATCTTACTTCCTCAATTCAAGTAACTAGACTGAGTTAGTAGGCCTTAAAACGTTTTCCCTTCAAGGAAGATGTGCCTTAAGTATACAGCTAACACTCCCATGAGGTGGTCATTGTAACTTTTTAAAAGTAACACCTACTCTTCCCCCCAAAATCCACAATATTCTTACTTAAAGATGATAAAACAGAGTCAGCATGGCCCTGACAAAATGGAGGCTAGTGAGATGAAATGCTCATTGAAGTGGTAGGAAATGCCTGTCTTTGTTTTAAAATGGCCAAACGAGTGAGTCAACAGCTACCTGTCGGGTTATTTTTGGTGACCAGGGTCTTTCACCAGCCAGATGGCGGGTTTAGCAGTTAAACCATTTCCCAGGCCAAAGCGTCCTCAGAGAACTTAACGGCTTTGCCCCACATCTTTCCCAGCTCTCCTTGCGGGGCCAGGAACGGAGTCAGAAAGTCACCTCCACTACAGCAAATTCTGCTTCAAAGCAAAGACCGCTCTGTGGCTGGGGACATTCTTGGTGCTGATGAGGGCGTGAGGGTCATTAAATCAAGAGCTCTCTTTGACCAAAGTTAACTTTTGTTTTTCCCTCAGCAATGTTCTCCCAATCTTTCTGATTAAAAGACAACAAATAAACACACAACGTTCTTCAGGATTCTGATGGTGTTCTTAGTCCATTAATTACAAAAACGCCTGCTGGCAGAGAGCCTCTGTGATGTCAGCAGCCCAGGGAAGTGAGCTGGTGTCATTGTCACAGTATCTCTATGCATTTGAAACCCAGAGTGGGCGCCTGCAGAAGGCTTTATTATTTGAACTATAGATAATGCTTGTGGGCCTTGGAGATGGACAGAGTCCTTGCAGCCACTAAAAATACCTAGGTGGGGGTAGGAATAGCTCAGTGGTAGGGTGCATGCTTGGCAGGCACAAGGTCCTGGGTTCAATCCCCAGCACCTCCTCTAAAAATAAATAAATAAATAAACACACCAAATGACCCCTCTCTCAAAAAAAAAAAAGAAGAAGAAAGAAAGAAAAAAAAACAAAAACAAGCACAAAAAGAACACTGATAGCATAAAAATGGTCTTGTTCTCTATTTGCAAATGTATTTGCAAGTAAAGTAGTGTGAATGCCAGCACTGCTCTTGGGCAGGGAGGCCCAAGGAAAAGCAGGTGTCAGAGGTCACGAATTTAAGAACTCAGCCTTCTTCTTAAAAGGCATTTGCCATGGAAATCTATTTGGGGGTGAGCTTTGGGTATCTTTAAGCAAATACTTGTGCTCTGATAGTCTGTGATCATGGCGGGATATTTGGTAAAACTAGAGGCCAGGAGGGAAGTGCGTGGCATATAGTCTTTCAGAAGGAAGTGAATTCAATCAAATGTACTCTTGAACAAGTTAAGGAGAGGGGTTGGGAGCCTTAAAGAGACATTTTGAAAAGGGCTTTGCAGATCACAGCTTAGAAGGAAGAGTAAGAAATTAAGAGGTTCAATCCCATTTCACACAGGTGGGCAGAAATTCTGCCCAAGGAATCCTGAGATTCTTTAGGGACAAATGAATCAGATTATACGTTTTACTTTCATGTGTTAAAACTGAGCATCGTGTCTACAAGGAAGAGTAGAGCTGGGGGTAACAAAGTGTCTGATGGATGCTCTGCAGCCTGGTGTAGAGAGACGGCGCTGGATGAACTCAGACAGGATTCAGGGCTCTCAGCAGGGAGGCAGTGGGGAGCCAGAGGTTCAAGACCCCTGAGAGTGAAGTGTCAGGAGGGAGGCAGGAAAGAAGCAGCCCACTGGGGGACAGAGCACAGCCCCCACTTTGGCAGTGGACGGCATTAAACTGGACATGGAGGCAAGGGTCTGACGAGAGGTGGCCAAGGCAATCTCCTCTACTTGACCCCAAGCAGCCGCAGAAAACCCCCCTAGAAACAGAAGGAGCATTTGTGACACTGATGTGGCCCCCCTCGTTGACTCTGAGACAGGGACGGGCACTTTGTAAGGACAGCAGAGACTGGGAAAGACCAGGAAGTGATGTCAGAGTCTCCATGGAGTAAGGAGCGTGGTCCTTCTTGAGTGGAGGAAATGGTATGGATCCAAAACCATCTCCAAGTTTCATCAGTAATTTTCAAAGTAACCACAGCTGACGGACTTATAATAGTTTTTTTTAAGCTGTGATATTTTTAAATTGTAAATAACATTTATTTCAACTCATCCTCTTTCCCAGATTTTTAGTTACATATCGTAAAGGTTACACAAGGACAGAAACAGATTACATGGGATTAACTGCAGAAGGTGTCATCCGTCCATTCATTCAACAAACACAGCCATCGCCTGAGACAAGGCGGTCAGCTTTACTGGTATTAGGAAAATAGTGGTGAGTGAAATAAAAACATGCTCCCTGCCCTGTGGATTCTACGTTAGTGGAAGACACAATAATTAACTAGCTAATTACCGTGGTAAGTTCAGCACACAGGAAACACTTGATGTTATGACTGAAGTATCTAATAAGGTATTCAATTAAGTCATGAAGCCAAGGAAGTTTACCTGAAACGAAAAGCAATTTAAATTGGGAGTCGGAGGTTTGCAGACACTATCAACTATTTATAAAACAGATGAACAGTAAGGACCTACTGTGGAGCACAGGCCACGATATTCAATGTCTTTTAAGTAATAACTTATAATGGAAAAGAATCTGGAAAAGAGTATATTTGTACATAACTCCGTATATGTAACTGAAATCATTTTTCTGTACACCGGAAACTAACACAATACTGTAAATCAACTATAGTTCAGTTAAAAAATTAATTTAAAAAGACTCATTCTCTTGACACAACATTGTAAACTGACTGTAACTCAATAAAAATTTTTTTAAAATAAAATAAAAAGACTCATAGTCTAGTCTGGTGTGTTTACAGTTTTTCGCATGTGAGCTCCTGGTTGCTGGTTTCAGTTAGGCACGATCTTAAGGACATCTTTTGGTTGGCAATGGAGATATACCGAACTATTTGGAAGGGGTTAGAATCCTGTATTACTTTTTAAAAAATGTAAAACATTATTTCTCATAAAGCATTTTGTTTGTGTGAATAAGGACCACGCACGGGGAGACCTGAAGCCGCCTCGCCCAAGGGATCTTTGACGCCCAGCCCCTCCTGCGCGGCCCCTCTTCTGGCAGGAGGGCAGTCATGGAACGCCTGTGCCCAGAGGGTGATTCATGCCAAAGTCCCCTGGGATAGATTGTCCGGGAGGACCTGGGGCAACACTGGATGTCTACGTTCCACCTGTTTCTTACAAACCAGTGAACAGAGTGCTTTAAGAGCTGCAAGACTCTGCCCAACTCAAAACATCAGAGCTACCACTTCCGAGAAGAAGAAGGTGTGAGAAAACCTGCCATTTGGACCGCGGAGTTGCACAAAGAACCTCTCAGTGCACGTGTGACTTCTGAGAAGCCAGCTTTCTGTGGGGAGCACGTGGCTCTGTGACTTGGTGTGCCACGTGTGCAAGGGGCCCACACTCAGCTTTCCCTCCGGGCTGGTCTGTGGTTCATCTCTTACTCTGACTTCTGTGCGTTTTCCCCTCTCCGATGTCATTACAATAGGCTGTATTTCAAGCCGTTGTTGAGGGCATCCAGCTAAAGAATTAGAACTCTGGCAGCATAGCTAGATTCAAGGGACCTCATGGTCTTGGAAAGGGACCCAGTGGACACACTGGGGATGACCCGTGGGAAACAGAAGGTGAAAATCAAATAGATTTCGTTCTAGAGTTTCCTACCTCAGTTTGTGGCATCACCAGCCATCCTGTTGTGAAAACAGAAACCTCAGAGTCATTCTCGAAACTCACTTCCTTCAGTCCATTGTTAACTTCTCCCTATGTTACTCCCTCAGCCTATCTTAAAATTGTCAGTTTCTCTCCATCTACACCACCACCGTCGCAGTCCAAGTCACTAACATCTCTTGAACAAACAATCAGAATGACCTCCTAGCAGCTCTGCCTGTATCTGCTCCAACATTACTTCTCACTCCTCAGCTCCCTTTCCACCATTTATTCAGAGACATCTTTTCTCAGTGAAACTGTATCTTGGGCACCCAACCCCCGTTCTGTAGATTGTACATATAATGTCCTCTCTACTTTAAAAACTCTCCCACATCTGGCAATATTCTTTCAGTCCTACAGGTAGACCAATTGTCCCTGTCTCTGGAAAGTCCTCCTTTATTTTTCTGATTAGACCAAATGACCTCCCATCGCTCTCCCAGGGTTTTTTATCCCCACAGCCACATTGTTTGGGTGATCATTTGATTACTTTCCTTCTCTCCCACCAAACCACACGCTCCATGAAGGCTGCTAGGCCAGCCCCTGGGCAGAGGTGACCTCTAGTTAGTTGTTAGATGAATGAACATCCACAGCATCCTTCCTGGTGTTTCTGGGCTGTTCGAAACGCTAGCCCTGAGAGGAGGGTTAAGTGTCCCGCCTTTCCTCATATCAAATGGGCAGAAGGCTAGGTTTCATTTGAAATACAGAAAATCAAGAATGTGACAATTTTGGGGACACTTCAGTTAGGGTCACAAAGATCATATCTTCTCTACAACTTAACGATGGTTCAGCTTAGGACTTTCTGACTTTACGCTGGTGTGGAAATCACACTCAGTAGACAACACCCCTCAAATTTGGAGGTTTGATCTCTTCCCGGGCTAGCTGCACACTCTGCAGTGCTGTCTCCCGATTCCAGGCAGCTGCAGCGAGCCGCGGCACCAGGGCAGCCACGAGGCCGTGAGAGTGACGGCTGCCACATTCACAATCATTCTGCACCCGGACCACCACTCTGTTTTTCACTCTCAGTACGGTACTCAATCAGTTCCATGAGATACTTCACACTTTATTATTAGCTGTGGGCTAATGCAAGCGTCTGGGCGCAGTAAAGGTAGGCGAGGCGAAGCTCTGATGTTCTGCAGGCTAGATGTATTAAATGTATTTTTGA